AGATGTGTAGGTGTATGTTCTCAGCTGCAATCCCTAGGGTGAGGGAACGTCTCATCTGTGTCTGCTGCATACTCTGAAAAGTTTGTGTGGCCATGGACAGTGTTGCCTCTGTCAGCAGCCACTCCTTGGGTTAACAAGGGTATCATGGCTTACTTACTGAGCCTGGGTGGTCACATACTCTTCACACCCTTTCTAAGGGTGATGAAACTCAGCTCTTCATTTTCCATGCAACCTTTCCATAACCAGGTGATCCCCCCAATTAGTCTATGATACAGGCTACACAACACATGCAATGTCAAAGTTCAACTCCTATCTGGGGTTCAAGTGCACTTAGAAACAAATTAACAATGAAACAATCATCTCCCAGTGCTCAGCTAAACCCATCTCTTCAATTTACTGCAACACAAACCCACTGTGCCTCTGCCAGGACAGCCACTCTGGAATCTGCTTTCCCCTCTTAATGACCTTCAGCTGTCTGCCCTTCCCTCTCGGCCTCCCGTTGCTGGCAGGTGCTATGGGGTGGGGACGACTTCATCCAGGACGCTGTTAATCACCTTCTCCCTGTGTGCTTTGTTTGGCTGACATGCCCTACTTTATATTAGTGGCTTGTATTTTTCGTTGCCCTGAAGGGTGTAGTGCCAAGGTCTGTGACCTCATTTAAAAGACAATGAAAAGCCAAAGCGTTCTCCATGGAAAAGGTAAGTGGAGCAGGGCTATGCTACAAACTCCTCTGACATCATGATGTAGCCCTTCTGAGGAATGTAACCTGTTGATTGATGTTTACCCAGCCTATAAGCAAGGCATAATATGCAGAAGAAAAGTATGCAGTAAACTAAAGCAATGAAACTGACATATTTTGGAGGCTAATTGGTTCTACCTCTTGTCTTTTCAGGCACAAATCAGACCTCTTCTATCTTACTCTCTGCTTACAAGAATAAGGTAGCACTTTCTTTTCACTGAGTGAAAAGTGAATCGTCCTAGTGGTAGAACTCCAGGCCTGTACATCAGTGAATCTAGGCTTCCATGCTGACCTTTTCCAGCTCTGCTTTTTCAAAATCTGCTAACTCAATATCAATATATTATAATGGTAGAAATGAGGTCTGAAACAGTATCTTTTCTTACAAGTAATTGGAAACAAAAAGTGTAAAATTAGTCAAATATTATTTTTGCCACTTGTTTTACAACCGAATATCTGTTCTCTTGGTTATGGCAGGTGATCCAATATCAGATACTACTTCTCCTTAGAGACCTTTCCACTTTTATATCCCCATTCTTTCTATGACCATAATCATGTTATTATATACAGCTGTCACAGAAGTGCAAAAGAGTGTCCGCTGCAGCCCTGAATGTACACACAAGCAAAAATCACCAAACCAACCCAAACTCAAACTTACATCACAAAACCTCCAGTAACTTTTACTGCAAAAAGTATGTTTTGAATTCATTGTCTAAACAAGATCGAACATATTTGTAGGGTTGTAATATGTTCTTGAGAAACAAACAAATTACTAAAATATTGAGGACATTGCCAAAAGCCAGCTAGAAATAATTTCAGCAATTTTGATTTGTTTTGTTCACTGTAGCTAACAAACATCTTTCAGAAAGTACCTGTTTGATGATGCTGTTTCCTAGCAAACTACTCATGACAAACATGACAGTCGACATAAAAATCCAAGGACCCATGCAAATTAATTAGTATAACATTTTAACACTTTTAATTAAAATCAGGCTACCAAGGACATTTTTTGTTTCAAGGAAAATTAAAATACTCTATTGTGTACCTACACATCTTTACTTCTAATAATAACATATAGGGGATTGCCGCAATGGATGAAGTAACTTTTTATTCCACATTAAGATAAGGAAAATAAATATACAGTCAGAAAAAAAAATTATGTGACCAGGAGAAAATGCAACACATTTGTAATATGAACATGTTTCAAAGAAAGATGTGTAATTTCCAAGGGGAAAAAAAATCCAAACAAAAATAATTTTTTGCTTCCGTCACCGAAGCAACTTGGGGAGCACTTCCATTTGTATAACATTTACAAGAACTGTAAGTGAGTAAAAGTGAGTAAAAAGTATAACCAATAGGTTTCAATTGTGCAATGTATTTCTAATAGATGTTGTTTAATTTTATAAAAGTGAAATCTAAAGGGAAAATATTTTTGGAAGAATTTAGCCTAACAGTCGTGTGGATTTGGTAACTGTAAATGCAGGGCTTCCAAAATATGAAGACTTGGGAGAAATATAATTTACAAAATACTCTGATACAAGTCAATGTCTCCCAATTCGCCAAAACTTGCCAGCTCCACATTTTATATTTTCTCAAATATTTTAAGAATCATCATGAATACTGTTTGGGTTAATAACTAGAAAGTTTATAATAGAGAATAAGCACAAGAAATAGCAGTAAAACAAATGTGATGTTTGTTAAACAATATACAAAAATATTTTGTCCTTAAAATAAGGATCTTGCTATGGGGAAGTGTTAGTTTTGTGTTCGTTGTGGTAACACGTTGCGTCTACACATATAGTAAATACACAAATTGCTCTTTTAAGGTTCTAAAGTTGTAGGGAATTGCAGTCTTTTGTTTTGTGTTCTGTAAAGCTTTGAGCCTAGCCCCTGTAATAACTGAATCTTCTCAGCTCAACTTTGAATGACCTTGTACTTGGAAAATGTTTTTAAATCCTGTTTAGTCATTATAGTTGTTCAGCAGTTAATCTAAGCACATTGTTTTTTTAAGTATGGTTAGCTTCTTGTTGCCCAAGTATAATAGGGAACAAACGGTCAAGGGGACAATGATAAAAATATTAGGAAACAGATGAAAAGCAAAAAAGACAGTTATTAAAAGGCAAGGATGTGGAGTGAAGGCTACATAGAGTCATAGTGACTAGATAATTTATGGTAGAAGAGAACTAGGAGATCCTAAAAGCAAAGAAAAAGTTTAAAATGTAAACATGTTAGAATTGACATGATGGTCTTTATGGTCATATGAACATTTAATAATACACAAAGATAAATTACAGGAAGTGCAAGATCACAAATATGAGATGACACAATGCACAATGAGTGATGAACTATAAAAGTTATAAAGGATGTTCTAAGGAGGGATGTGGTATTGATCCAATAATTGTTGAATCTCCTTAAATCTCCATATAACTGGACAGAGAAGACTCAAATTCAGCCTCCCACCTTTACATTTAGGTTCATAATCGTGCAAATAATACTTGCAGTAATAGCAAAATTTTATGTAAATTGTGTAAAATTATGTAAAAAATCATGGCATTGAGTACTGTAGCCACTCTCTTCTTCTGAGAAGAGCTCCTGGACTTCAACATGATGAAAAAATCAATTTGCAAAGCACAGCTATCACCAAGAAAGGAGGAATCTTTCTCCTAGGGCTACAGGTGGAAGGACTGGACATTTTAATGTATGTCCCAATCCACATGGTGTGAAATCTTCTTGCTTCTCTGAATTTGCACACACAACCCCCAAGAATTTTATTTGTCACAGTGGTAGGTTCAGGGCAACTTTTCCAGAAACCATACAAAAATTACAATGGAGAGGAAAAGAAAATATACTTCTCTATAAAAAAGGTGTACTATTTCTGTAGTAAGATACTGACATTGGTGAATTGCAATTTCCAGGCTAAAATATATTCTGACCATGTTTCAACTTATTTCTCCATTTGCTTGGGGGAAAGTCTATGCTTTTTGAGTATTTTGCTTCCCATTTAGGCTACACAACAATTTGCTTTGACAATGCTGTTTAACCTTTTATTATAAAACCAGATACTCGGCATATCTTAGAGTACACTTACATAGTGGCACCAGCTGAAATATTTTGCATACTTGTAAGGGTTGAATCTTTGAAGCCTTCCTTTGCTTTCAGTTGTAGGCTCTGAAATCCGACTCTGTAAGTGATAAATCTGAAAAACTTCCTATCTGAGAAAAAAGTGTGCAAGTGCATCCTAAAACACTATCAAGACCTAATCTGAACCCAGGTCTCCGACTCTTATCTTGCAATTCTTATTATTTAATTCAGAGAAAAAAGAAACAAGCAAAGAGGAATGAGACACCTGATTCAGGTATGCTGGAGCCTCAGCACATCACAGAACACCCAGAAACATCTCATTACCCCATCAATGTGTAGAAGTGCTCTGCAAGGAGGGTGTCAGTGGATGGGTCCGGGCTCTGCTCGGTGGTGCCAAGCAACAGGACAAGAGTCAATGGGAAAAAGCTGATGCACAGGAAGCTCCACCTGACCATGAGGAGGAACTTCTTTACTGTGCAGTGTCTGAGCACTGGAACAGATTGCCCAGAGAGGGTGTGGAAGTCTCGATCACTGGGGTTATTCAAGAACGATCCTGTGCCATGTGCTCTGGGATGACCCTGCTTGAGCAGGGAGGTTGGAACCGATTTCCCACTGTGGTCCCTTCCAGCCTGATCCATTCTGTGACCTCTACGGTTCACATGTAAACAGGATCTAAACAGCGCCGGGATACATCTGCTCCTATGGCTGAGGAAGGGCAAGGATCCGCTGGACTCCCGGGCATTTCCAGCATCCCTCGCTCAGCACCTTGGCTGGACAGCAGGTGCTCAAGCTGCATGTGCTCCCAGCCCCTGAAGAGGAAGGCGGCAGGCGACCCGGCAGCGCGACACCTCCCGCTGCCCCCTCGTCTGCTCCGCCACCCGCATGGCGCATGCGCGGCCCTGCGCCTCGGGCGGGCCAATTCAAACGTGCCCCTCGCCCCTTCTCCTCGCCGGGGTAGCTGTGGCGCTGTGACGTCATCGCACCGCGTCCTCTTTCTTCCCTGCGGTTTCCGGCGCTCGCCCGCGCCGCGAGTGCGGCGGAAAGTTTTCATTTGTGTGGTTCACGGTATCGATCCTCTCCCCTTTCCCGCGGGCGGGCCGGGGCTGCCTGAGCCCGCTCCGCTAGGCGTGGACCTTCCTCTCCCCTCGTCGTCCCCGCGGGAGGAGCGGCGAGACTTTCGGCGATGGCTTCGGGGGGCTCGGAGGCGGCGAGGCAGCGGGTGGCAGAGCTGGAGGAGGAGCTGCGGCGACTGGCGGAGCGCCTGAGCCGCTGCCAGGTACCTGAGCGCGGGGCGAGGGCTGGCCCGGGGCCGAGCTGACGCGTCCCGTTTGGGACAGCGGGTTCGCGTAAGCTCCCGGCGGGCAAGGAGGAGGAGCAGGGCTGTGGGCGCCCGTGAATTAAATCAGGCTTGGGCCCTTGTCCTCGATGAAACCACCTGTCCTGAAGCTGTTTTGTTCACCCTTCCAGAAGCCACAGTTCGCTTGAATTGAAATGGAAGAAGTCCCGAGCTACTGCCTTGTGCAACTTCGGGGAAGAATGAACAGGGTTTTAGAGGATTTTAAGTCTTGAAGGAACCTTTGGAGTTAATTTTATCTCTCCATCAACCTTGCATCAGGATTAAATATACCCAAGCTCTTTCTGGGAATTGAGGGCTTAATGAGTAACTATGGGTGTACTTTCAAAAGTTCCTCTGCGTCTTGCCCTGTGGCCTCCCTTCATAGGTACACTTCCCTAATTTTTTCCAGTTGGTCGTTCATCACTGATACTTAGGTGTATTTATGAAAAACATAAAAACGTTGGTAATGTGAAGTCCTGTTCTAGGCGAAAATTCTCTGCAAAACACATGGATTACACCAAAAGTATATTCTAGAGAGGAAGCTGACACCTAATGCTGCAGGTAACCAAAACAGTATTTTCACCTGGAATGTGGTCTGGTTAAAGCCATGAAGGTCTGGGCTGATGTAAACATCCATCTGAAAGTCTGTAGAGGTGCCCTGCTTCAAGCAGCATTGCTATTGGTGACATGACAACTGGTGTAGGATTCCTCCCGTGGGTAGAATCAAGACTTCTTGAGAAAACATACTGCATAGGAGATCAGTGGGGAGAAGGACCTGCCAGTGAAAATCCTGTTTGGAAATGCTGAACAATGCTAAATGCTTTGGAGATATCTTCAATGTCTTGTGAGAAAAGTGAAAGAAGCTCTCTATAAAGATATGGTTTACTGATCCTGGTATGCATATGTGCGCTATCTGACAAAATTTGGTGGAGGCAGAAGGAAGTCCTGTGCTTTGCTCATTCGCTAGTTGAACATAAACTATGTATTACTAAAACCTTGTAGCATATAGTATTTTTGAAGAGTGTTGTACATACTAGGAACTTTGAAGAAACAGTACAAATATGAATTTCTGATCACTTTGATAACTTGGTGTTATAACTTGATAACTACAAATTGTAGTTAAGCATCTGATTTCCCCTTTAGATTAATTTCAATTATGTGTCTATTTCTACTTGTTCCTTGATGAACACACTCCACATGTGTTGAAGTCAGCAAACAGAAAATGTTTTCAGATGTATTTATTTTAAGTTTCTTGCATATTATTTTGCCATTCTTGGATCTTTGTCTTTTGTCAGATCAAATAGCTTTTGTGAAGAAAGCAGACAAAAAAAGAGCAGGAAGATGGTTACTGTTTTTGAAAACAGAACCCAGTCAGTGTCCTGCAGAAATCTCTCCAGCTTTAGGTAGAATCCAATGCATAGCAACCTTCTAATGAGAGGGGATGCATGTGTTCAGGATTTATTTCAGATTATTAATAAAATAAAAAGTGAAGCAACAACCTAACCTCTAAGCAGAGATTCTCTGAAAGCATGCAGTGTAGGCATCTACATGCTTTACCATTTTACTAATCTATCAATACAATTGACAGGTTTATGCTTGTGTATGTTACATAAAGAAGGGGGAAGACAATTTTTAGTAAGTTAAATAAGTTAAAGTTATAATTGCCTTGTCCATTTGGCAGCTTTTTCAGTATGGCATTTATCTAAGGTGATTAATTTTGTAAAGAAAGTTTTGTGAAGATATCCTGAATTTGAATGGGAACTAAAATGGCTTGATTTACTGAATGGACTTCACTAAGATTCTTCAATGGTTTGAAAGTCAGCTGATGAAATTACTTGTAGATGGTTAATCTATTTTAAGGCCATATTTCATATGAAAAGTTTTTGCAAAGACAAGTCCTTTGAAAGCATAAATATGTATGGGCAATGTTAATGTATTTTTCTAGCATCTTCGCAGCTGAAATACAAAGTTGTTGCTGACCAGCTAATTTCTTGAGCATAATTTCATTTGATCTGCTGTGGTTTACTTTATTTCCTTTAGTACTAAGAACTTCTTTTGTTTCTGTGCAGTCTCCTAATATTTGCAGGTCTTATTAATCAGAATTGTGAAACCATCTAGGTTGGAAGGGAATTCTTGAGAGCATCTGAGAGCATCTATTGCATCCCACCCTAGAAGAGATTGCCTAGGACAGTACCTAGTGAAGTTTCGAGTATTTCCATTCCTGGAGACTGCAACCTTTCAGGATAACCTGTGGAGGTGTATCACAGTAAAAATGTTTCTTTTTCCATTAAGATTGTCTTCTGTGCTTTTGGGTGGGGTTGTCTCTTTCATAGATTGCCTCAGCAGGCATTTTGGATAGAAAAGTTGTGTAAATGTCATTAGAAAAGATGTTTGTGAGAGGTTGTTTACTTTTTATCCAGCATCTGGATAAAATTCCCCAAGTCCCTAAGTCTCTTCTTCTTCTTCCTTCTTCTCTTCCTCCTCCTCTGGCTCATAAACTGTATTTCCTAAAAAACCTTCCCAGCTGAAATCTAGTTTAATAGTTTAGGACTGTATCAGAAGGAAAAGATTAGTCTTAAGTATCTGTTGAGGTATTAGCCTATTGGATATTATTTTCCCCAAAGAACAAAGACATTTATCAAATGATTGAGGCTAAAGTTTTAATGGTTTCTAAACCAAACAGTTTTAACAAACTGTATGTATCCAAAAGTGATTTAGCATCTGAATAAATTATGGTATGTTTTTCTTCTACACACCTTCTTGGACTATTATATTCAATGTCATATAAACTGCACTTCTGAAATGAAATCTTTTCTGGGAACTGACATCTGTTGATAGGGAGTCTGTTGACTAAATACATGGAAACCTTCTTTGGCTAATGGAGCTCCTGAGTGTTAATGCATACTAGCTTTGCTCTAACTTCAGGTATTTCAGGCATCTACTTCTCAATGTTGTTTCTTTCTGTGACAGAATTCTGGCGAACCTGACTCTTTTAGTTATCCAGGATGGTGGCCTTTATGTTCAAAAGAAGGTTATTATTCATATTTATTCTCTTCTTTTACAGTAACAATTCCCAAAGAGTAAAGGTGCCTACAAGGATCATATATGGTATTTTTAATACTTCTTTTTTTCCATTATTTTCTGAAGGTCAGGTTCTACTACTAAGCTTGACTTCTGCATCTTAGTTTGGTAGTATTTGATATTTCCTTTAATTCTATTCAAATCATTGTAGGAGTGTCTATCCTAATAAGCAAGATCTTGAAGTAGAGCTTGTTAAAAAAAAAGAGCACAATTTTGTTGCAGTCATTCTGTGAAAACTGACGTTGACATATAATTCTGTGGTGGAATTTGCAAAAATGAGAAAGCCAAATTAAGAATAAATAAATAAATAGTTCAAAGCTCCCAGATTGTCTACTGAGAAGCCTTGTATAAAGCTAAGGAGGTGTACCTCTGTAGTATGCTCTTTTTGGAAAATTATGGTTGTGTCTGCAGTCAGTAATTTTGTAATTATTTTTAATTTCAGAAATTTTAATTTCTTATTTTATTTGAGAATTACTTGAGAAATAAAGTTATGGCTCCTGAAAACAACTGAAAACAGAAAATGGGTTCTTATTTTTAAATTTCTTATTTTCTCTGGCACCTTATTACATTTCTTTGATGGGCTTGATGTTGTTGGAGAGCAGTGGAAAGATGAAGGTCAAATAATAGTAAGTCATGGTACATCTTGTCTCTATTACTTTTATTAACTGCTGCATTCTATTTCAGGGTTTTATGCTGCTGTCTACCACCTCAGAATATCAAGATCTTCAGTACCTATGTTCTTATTACTCTCAGGAGTTTTTGCTTTTCATTGTTGTTTAAAAGATCTGGCTTGTGTTTTACTTCCATCTTGTTTTCCCTTGTGGTTGTGTATTTTTGTGGGTGGAGATGGATATGCTGTTTTTGCAAAACCTAGTGGCTCCTGGTATAGGAAATTAATCTGGTTTGTTTGTTTCTGTTTTTTTCCATGTGCTTGTTTTGATATTTATTGGGTTTTTTCAGTAAGAGGGATGATATATCTCTGGAAGCTCATTCTATGGGTGGAGTTTCTGAGCCAAGATTACCTTTTTTAGCTTTATTTGCTTTCTCTTTAGTCTTGTGTGTTTCTTTAAACCCCTATTAGGTCTATAGAGATCTGTAGCATATTCCTTGGTGTCCTGTAGGGAAGCTTCTTTTGGTGAAAGATAGTTCATTTGATGTAAAATAATGTGCATTGCTAAATTGGTGATTGATGTCCCAACTCTCAGGTTCTAGGATAGACACTTCCATGCCCCCATGTTCTGTAACTGAAAAGATAGGAGTAGCTCTTCCATGTATTCTGTGATAGGCAACTACAGCAAATCCTTGCTTTGAGCAAGACAGTGATTCTGGGTTGGATTTTCCATGTCAAACAGACATTTTCATCAAACAGAGTGTCATATATTGATGGCATTACAGAAAGTTGGAAGAAGCAAGCACATTATCTTCTGGTTTTACTTATGCTATTGGTGATAGTCACAAGACAAGTTTGATTTGTTTAGCTCAATTTTGTATTTACCAGCCTAGGATGTCTCTCTTCGTTGAAAATGCTGTTTTGAATTCAAACAAGCGTCTTAACAGCTTACCCATTATTAGTTTCAAAAAACCAAGATGCTGTAAGTCTTCATTCTACTTATTGTGGCTTTTTGATTTCAAAGGTAATATGGCATGTCTGTCTGCTAAAGTGATACTGTGTTTTCCTTACTGAGGACTATATTTTCTAACTTTGTGGTTCTACCAACTGTACTCTTGATCTCTTTTTTTTTTCTTTTTTTTCTTTTTTTCTTTTTTTCTTTTTTTTTTTCCCTGTGTAAAAATACATGTTGTAGCTCATGTGCCTTTTCAGTCAGTGATAGTAACGCCTAATCCTTTTCTATGTTAGG